GCGCAACCGCTAACAGTCGCCACTCGGGTTGTACGCCTTCACTGAGGCCGTCGGCAACAGCACATTTTGACAAGTGGACTGTTGACGGCTTAAGGCTCAGTGGAGGCGGCCGTGGTGGGAGCTAAGGCGGCAGCTAGCCAGGGCCGCCTCCATCAAATGGGGAACAGTGGTACACCAGTCGCGGCCACTCAGCTAATGGGAGTGAGAAGGGTCCAGCGGACCGATGAGTGGCCGTGAAGTTCCTCTCCACACGCTGAAATGGGGTAATGACACCCCCGCCCCAGGGGGAACCACCCCCGACTGGTCGGGGGAGGGACCCCTTCCAAACCTAGGGGCCCGGTGGCCGGCCGGCGGGCGCCGAGAGCCGCCCGGCAGAGGGCGTGGCTGAGCGCCCCCGATCGTGGGGGTCGAGGGCCTGGCAGAGTCCCGAGAGGAGACGCCGTTCGCACCCAGGCACAAAACTGCATGATGATTGCCCTGGCAATGCAGACAGGGCCGCCGATGCGGACAGTCTCGCTGGAGGTGCCCTTCCAAATACGAGCAGCACCAGCGGCGCTCCTTGGCGATAGTTCGCCTCGCTGGAACCTGCTTACCTAATAATTTCGGGCACGACGTTACCCGGTGATCAGATGCTCGACAATAGGAGCAGGGGGGGGTTGACGACGACTTGCCTGGCGGGTTCAGCCTCTCACTGGGCACGTCTCGTTTGTCGTCAACGGTGCCCGCCGCGTTCTCGATCTGCCGGCACTGCTCCTCCAAAAACCGCAGCAGGTTATAGAAGAGCGGAATATAGGAGGCCTCGTCCCCGCCGTACCTCTCCTCAAAGTGGATTCGAAGGTCGAGAGGTAGACGGGACAGCACGATGCGGAGCAACAAAAAAGCCCATTCGCCCACTGGTAATTCCAGCCGCCTCAACGCATTACAGGCCACCAAGACTGGATCCAACAGGTCCGGACGCAGCCTGGCCCGGTCACTAAGCAGCGGGAGGCTTAGAAGCTGCTTAACATGTTCGTCCGCAATTCGCCGGACGTTGGCGTATCTTCTGGCTAGGAGGTCCCGAGCAGTCTGGTAGGCGTCGTCCGACAATCTCAAGTGGCCGACGACGCCCAGGGCCTCCCCCTCCAGTGAGGCCAGGAGGTACGCCATCTTTTGGCTCGGGGTCAAGTCACTCCGGGCGTCCACTAGCCTGTCGAAAAGACCAACGAAGGTCAGCCATTCGGAAAGGACCCCGGAGAACTTTGGCAGGTCCAGAGTTGGGAGTCGTCCCAACAGCTCCGGCTGAAGCTGCTTCAGAGAGGACTCGGACAGGTCACTCATCCGAGCTTCACGCGCCTTCTCGGCATACCTGCCTTCAGCCTCGATCAACTCGTCCGTGAGCCACAAGAACTGATCATAGTCCGCGAAGTATGAGTCCAGGACTCCCTTCTCCACATCCGAATCCTCGAGCTCAGCGTACGCCTCCTCCACTGCGGCCCTTCGAGCATCCACCTGCTCAAACCGCTTCATCAAGTTATGGACCCTATCCGGTCGACCTATCAAAGCATGGGCGCTTGTGGCCCAGCGCAGTCCGCAGGCAACGGATTAGTAGCTTGGGCGATGACATCACTACTAAATACAAATTACGACGCGGCTCGAGCACAAATTACAAAGATAACAAATAAAAAATACAACAAAAAATTAACAGTTAATAAATGCAGTTCCTATCAAATCGCGTTGAATAGAAATTACACAAATACGAATTACTACGTATCAACCAAATACAAGTTAGCCAAAAGAAAAGACACAAATCAAATTAACAAATAACAAATACTAATGCGAACAAATCAAGTTAAATTCAAATGGCGCAAATACCATTATTACTCTTTAGTTCAAATACAAATTACAATACAAATAAGCTACACATCACGGTCGATCAACAAAAATGCCTAGCTCGGAAATCGACCCTTCGATAAGTAATCCACTACAACTATCCGACAACGATAATTAACCGATTACGTAAAAATAACCATAAACCTAAATGACGTATATCTCTAGAAAACTCCCGCTTGCGCAACCTAGGGCGCGGCTTTTCAAATCTACCCACTAACCAAAAAAAGGCAAGCAACAAAGCAACAAGGGAAAATAATTTTATTATTACGTACAAAAAAATATTTTACGTATTACGGACGGGCGTGATTGTAGATACAAATTAAACCAATCAAAACAACGCTCCCTGCCACCAGAATTGTTTAATTTTTATCAAACACTATGATCGGGATCGACCGGGGAATCGAACCCGGAACCGCGCTCTGCTACCAGTTGTTACGGCCTACGGCTGCTCCCTTAAAGGGTCCAATCCTCTGGGGCCCATGAGCAGAAGACTTCCCGAGCAGACGTAGGTCGGGCCTCAATGTGGCCACGTGGAATCGCTCTAATTACAATAAACCAGATGGGAGGACGTTAGAAGGACATAGTACTTACCATTATCCGAAGCTAACTTCGAACCAAGGCTTGGGCAGGCCGTGAGTGTGTGTAATAGTGGATGGAGAGTAGTGTACAGTGAGGGGTGAATGTGTGGGGCCTTGTCAAGCATAGGCGACCAGCCGCTGCCGAGTTCCAGGCTGCTCCAAAATGCTGCACCGCTTCAGACTGCTTCGGTGCCGGACCACAATCACTTTCCTCTTTCGTCACGATGACAGTCAATTAACTCTATCGTGCGATTAACTAACTTACAGAAGCCACTAACTATCGCGGGGTATAAGGTTACCGCACAAAACGCACACGGAGCCTCTGGACCAAAGGTCGCTACCGTTTTGCGTCGCAACAGTTAGTTCTAGAATATCAGAGGCCGCACTAGCTAATATTGCCTAATGCACTTATGCAGATTCTGAGTCAAACACAATGAGTCCCTGGGAAGCTCTCCAGCAGGAATGCGCGTCACAATGGTAGACCGTATATTTACTGGCCGTGCCGAATTATTCCGAGTTCCCGACAAAATGACAGCGTGCCAATCGTGAGCACTGCCTAAGGACGACTGACTCCTTTCGCTCGCGACCCGCGCGCCATTGCCACGCTCGGCCGAACTTCAACCGATATCGCGCCGAGCCGAGCGCCATCTGGCGTCGATTCTTGACAGCGTTTGGCGCGAACAGGTTGTGTACAGATATCTTTAGTAGTGTAAATACACGCTCTGGGCTTGTCTTGTTCAGAGCTGTAGAATAGCTTACCTTTTAGGTTGTTTAGGCTTTTAATTTTACCAACCCCAACCCACGGCTCCTGGATTAGGGCTATGGCAGTCCTTTGAACCTCCAACCACTTGCGTAATTGAGCCGACGCAGTTTCGCTGTGGTGGAGGTTGGCCTGCACTAGGCTAGTTTTGGACGAAGGGCACGCCATCATTGATCGCGTCCTCTCCGTCCCCGCCCAAAAATAGGCCTGCCAGAAGATCTCGGGTGTCATAGTCAGCTACCGAGTGGAAGTGGTCGGCAAAATGCAGTCCTCTTCGTCACTCAGTGGCTGTCGCTGAGCCCGATCATCACTGGGGGCTTCGGCTTAATTGTGCAGGCCGTTTTTTCACTGGACTTGGCCTCCAGTGATTCCGCTGTACCGGTAACCATGGCTCCGGTATCCATAACATCCGGGTTGTTTTCTACCTTTGCTCGGTGGAGTGTCAAAGAATTTACCTCCACGACCCTGGAATTTTAGGTATACCGCCCCGCATGCACATGCGAGACGGCGTCCGACCTTCATCAGGGTCGGGATATGATCCTCCGGCACCGAAACAACGAGGAACCACCCGTCCGTCTGCTTATCAGCCTTGATTAACAGCCAGTCCCTGATGTTAACCCAGCGGTTCTGGTACGCTCTTTCCAGGCTCCTTGGGCATCAGGGATAAGGATACCACATTTGACTCTTTGTGGTATCTCTGACTGTTTCTTTATTGTCAGCAAGACAATGGCCTAATAGTTATGGGTGCAGATTGCAAACTCAAGAAAGTAGTAAGTTCAAATCTGTCATTCGACTATTGTTGTAAATTACTCCTAGTGCAAGCATTTTCAGTTTACTTGGAGCATATAACAGAAGTGCTTGTAATGTTAATATTGATGCTAGTAGTTCAAAGTTAAAATTTGAAAGTAGGTTTCGTAAGATTGAATTGTGAGTTTGAATGTACTGCTTTTAAAATTATGTCTGTTAATGTCATGGAGACACCATGAACTTCTAGAGAATTGTGTCATTATAGCTTGCGGAACTAAGACAAATGGGGAAACATAACTCTCGAGTGGTAGCCTCATATTGGTTAGCAAATTGTAGAGTGGCGCCCCACTAGATAGTGGCAATCTGGTAAGACAGGAAGTCGATGGATGTAGGTGGCTTAGGACTGTGTTGTTGCGGTGATGATTATCCACTAGGTCACCGTTTCCTATTTGCCGGATCGCGACCCGGTACCGGGCCATCAAAATGAAATACTGGGTCGCAACTTTCCCGCCTTGTTTTAATCAATCAAAATAATACCTATTATTGATCGACGCATCGTTAACATTCATTTTTAAAACATTTTTACTATTAGTAAATGTGTATTATTTTACTTAATGGAACCAGCTTGGGTTTAAAAGTATTAAGTGGGTCACGAAGGTACAGTGTGAAAATTACCGGGCCATGGCAGAACAATGTTTGGGACAAACTGCACTAGGTTGTTGCACTTTTTTCTGCCTTGAAATCTGTCTGGGGAGTTATCAACCTCTTACCTATTTCTGCCACCAAGCAGCGGCGTGTGTTAGTGTGAAGGACATTGAGTCAGTGATTATACAGGCTGTGAAGCATTACATCTTAGTCCTCAGTGGAAACATCGCATCTGTAGCCTTCGCTTGCAGTTTGTTGCAGGTGCATTGTAAGTTTGTTTGTCACTTCAATATTATAAAAAATGATGTTGATGAAGAGAATTGTGGGAGCCAATAGATTTTATTACAAACTTATATATTTAAGTACTTTTCCATATTTATTATGAACTTTCATATTTTCAGATGGATGAGAATGAGGGGCCCATAATTGTCTGTGTCACTTGTCATGCAAGACTCAATCGTTGTAGAAGTTTACAACAACAGGCTATTGGGTCGAATGCAGTTCTGGACCAGTTGCTTACAGGAGCGTCCATGGTATTATCCATTCCATCTATTAAAACCTATTAAGTCCACTGCTGAACGTAGGCCTTCCTCATAGATTGCTCCATAGGAGTGATTTTGACAAATTTGGTTGAAAACCGCAGTTTATATTAATCTGAGTTATTATCAAATAGATGCTACTGCCCAACTCCTGTTTCTGTTTTCCTCTGTTACCTCTTACGTCACCCGTCCCGTGGGTAGGTATATCGTGCAGTGGATATTCTTGCTCTGTGACTACACGATCAACCGTATTTTACTTCTTTTAAATAAAAGTTCACTGCTTGATGGGTCACCCCATTTTTTTTAACAAGATAAGGGTAACAAACGAGCACACACTCCACCTGGTGGTAACTGGTTACTGTGGCCCATAGACAACTACATCTATCTTCGATTACAAATCAATGTGCAGATGTCTTGTTACTTGTTAGGACTAAGATGGAATGCCTCGTTTCCAGTAAAAAAGGTCTCCAGTTCTGTACACTCACCATACGAAATACAGCAGCATTAGGCTGCTATTTTATGCTGGTATTCTGTGAGAGTGTGGTGCTTCCCCGGTCGAGCCGACCCATTCGTGCTACAAGCATAACTGCAGTATGCCTATCTTCTGTTTGAGTTTCCCTCTGTTCTTTTTTACGACATCTGCGGGATGGTATGTGGTAGTATGGATTTTACTACGCCGCCACTACAATGGCTTTTTTTCTTATTTAAAAAAATAATTTGGTTTCAGTCAACACCAAATCCACATAAGCCTAGATATGAGATTCAATTCACACCAATTTGTCATATAGATATCAGGCCAGGTGAGTGTGATACAGGAAATGATCGTAATGACGAAATTTTTAGCCTTGAATCTGTTAAAGTTGAGGAAGAGAATATCGAAGATGAGAATTCCAAATTTGAAGAAAATAGGAATCATGAAACAGGTAAGGATATACACATTTTGTGATATGGTTAAAATAAGTACAGTTTACCTAATGGCAAGTGGCAAGCAATTTGTTACTGTAGCCCATGGACACAAAATAAGAGGGCTTCATATGCAAGGTACTGATTTACTGATTTGCCTTTGCCTAATTTCAAAGTGCATGTAAAAAGCACTCTTATGGAATAAGAAAAATACGAATGAAATAATTATTTTAAAAGAAAAGCATATTAAGCATGGACATTATAATGAGCTTCGTTAGACAACGCATCTACATTTTGATTCTTAATAGGATGCAGATGTCTTTGGTTACAGCATCCACTTACAATTAGGTGAACTGTGTGTCCATTAGTCATAGTCCGTAAAATACTATATTTTAACAAACTATTCCACTTCTTTTGTTAGAAATTATCATCAAAAGTATTTAAATAAAAGAACACTACTCGGTAACAAACCCTGCTTACTATCAGGACCCCAATTACATGATAACACCAAAGTATGCAAACCAACAGCATCACTACCCATCTCAATGTAACACAGGGCAGCCTCTCAGCAACACGACCTTCCTTGCCTACACTAGTAGAATACCCCAACAGGCATAGTAACGACAGTGAAACTTAGAATTACCTACTGATGCCTCTTAGTCGCCTATGCGATACTTTATACTGCTAAAACAAGTGGGAGATTACCAGAGTTGTAACCTTCATTTGTTCGTATTTCCTTTAATTTTTTTACCCTCATTCCCAAAAATATATATAAAAATTTCGTCACCTTATAATCTATACTGATATACAGTGGATTTCATTTATTACGACCTTGGTTGTAGCGACCAATTACCTATAGCGACGTTAAATCTAAGTCCCTTGAATTTAAAGCATATTTTAGTACAAAATTCATGTGGCTATAGCGACTTCGGATGTAACGCCGAGTTCGGGTGTAGCGACTGTTTTTAATGAATAATCTATAACGAATTCCTAGAAATCCCATGCAGATATTGCGACCGGAGTCGGCCGCCAAATACACAAAGATTTCTTTCTTTAAAAAACATTTTTTATCTTTTGTTTATATCCACACAGATGGTCACCAGGTATGGAGACCATTACCTTTTGTTTATAGATATCAACTAAGTAGGTAGGGAAGCGTGTACGTTTCGAGTTAAATTTATGGTTCAGTTACAAAGTGATATTCTGAGTAGCAACTGTAATGTATTGAATTTGTTACCTTTGCCTGTACGACTTCCGGATATAACGACGAATATTGAGTGGTCCCTTCATCGTCGTTATACCCGAAATCCACTGTATTTACATAATCAGTATAACGACATCAAACATCGAAAATTAAAACTGTGCTAACCATGATTCCCATCATATTTAATTTTCCACAATAGCACTGCTGGTCAAAACGCACGCACAACAGAAATAATGTTAGTGTAAAAAAGAATGCTGAATCAACAATATTATGGGTACGCAGCAGTACTGTGATTTTTTTACAGGAAATACCTAGACCCTGAGTTGCCAGGGCTTTTTTGGTGTTTTTTTTTAATGGCTCCATCTTAATCGTCCCATAAACTTCCACTGCTGAACATGGATGAATCTCTCCCGATGTAGGGAGAATTTGCCTTAATATTCACGCTTGGCATAGGATATGTGGTAGAGACATGGTGCAGCTATATTAGTAATATAGTTGTAGCACAAATGGGTCGGCTCGACCGGGGAAGAACCACGCTTTCACAGATTACCAGAGTAAAATAGCTTTATTTCGTATGGTGAGCGTAGAGAACCGGAGACCCCTTTTACTAGAAACGCGGCATTCAATCTTAGTCGTCATGGGTGACAACGTATCTGCAGTTTGATTCGTAGTCGAGGATAGATGTAGATATCTATGGGCCACAGGTATTTACCATCAGGTGGACTGTGTGCTCGCTTGTTACCTTTATCCTATAAAAAAAGGATTGAGGATCACAGAAACAGACGTGAGCACCTCTGACAATGTTGCCTGTCGCCGGTCTGGTTATTTTACATCTGAAGTAAACGAGGTGGCTATACTGCCATCTGTCAGAAGCCGTAAGACTTTTCTGGCAAACCCATAGTCTCCTCTTACGAAACCCACCGGACAAAATGTGATGATGAGTTCTCTTACGCCGCACCTACAAGGCAACTTCGACTATATTCTTAATATCTACAAAAAATACTGGTCAATATGTGTGGTGTGTATGTGTCTGTTATATTTGACGATTTTAAATTAACACATTATTTAAATTAATTGTACAGTTTCTTGAAATAAATTATTATTATTACAGCGGACCCCCGGTAATCCGGCCCCTGTCAAATACGGCACCCCCTGTAATTCGACATGGTCTATTATTTACAATCTTCGCAAATGCATGATTGAACAAGTTATAACTTGATTTATAATTTCTGATTATTTTAGTATGTACATTTGTATACATGTACACAATTAGTTCTTAATGTAAACTTATTGCATATATCTTTTAAGTTCTGTAGCATTAATGACGTTAATTTTATAATAAAATGTAAGCTCCCTATAGTGTTGTTTGATTTACTAAAGGAGATGTTTGAGAAATGTATGGAGCCTGGGCTAGCACTATGTACACTATATATAAATATCACTATATAATATAGTAATCGTTTTTTATTGTTAGTTTTCTTTAATTTCACTTCATTTCGTTGTAAATTCAAATTAACTTGATCAAGGAAAGCAACACAACAAAATTAAATATGGTGGATCAGATCAGCAGTATGCGAAAAATGTCATTTTGACAGTGACATTTGATTGGCGTGTGTCGTAATATATGCGATAAAAAAAAACAACACGAATTTCGGAATACTTGGGATTCGATAAAATAAGACTACAGGATACTCTTTTCTTTTGATATATTGCGGCAGCACATCTTATTTCACCTATTCGTGTAGTTAGATTGGTTATATCGGTTTTAAGAGGAGCAAGAAATGAAACGAAGGCTTGAAAGTTATTTTGCTTATCATAACTTTCCTGCTGCTTCATTCTTTAGTGCCTATCAATATATTTTGGACTTCGATAATTCATAGGAGAGCAGTGAGCTGTGCAGTATCTGACAACTGCAAGTTATTGTTAAAGTAGTTAACTATCCCTATTACCGTGAAACACGTCAACATTGCCCGAAATTTTAAAATAAATCTAGATATCTCAAGATTTTTGTATGCAACCCAGGACATAGTTTTTATCTGTGTCAGCACTAAGATCATATGTATGCATTGACACCGCCAAATTTAGCTTCTGAAATCGTTTTCTTGATCATATAGACAATTTTCAATGCGGGCAAAGTTATCTCGACTTTTAGCCAACATTACCCACCGAGATTTTAGCGGAACTATAGCTCTTATTTCAATGATATTAAAAATAATAAAAGCCTTTTGGCAATAAAAGCTAGTATATAAAAAGTCTACTCGATATCAAACATATTTTCAAACTAAAATGAATGGGCAATATTACCCTGATATTTTTTCTCTTCTCCATACAAACGGTAAGAAGCGATTTAAAAGTGCTAGGGTTGTCATATTTGAGTTAAAATAAAACATAATATATTAAATTTTATAAAGTATGTGGGAAGAGGCAATTAAGAAAAAATATTTTTAAAATGCAAAGTTGTTTATTAAAGGGTTTAATTGTGTTTAATTGACTAAATTAGTTACAGAAATCAACATTGTTAAAAAATGATAAAATTTGTTTAATGTTTAAAACTTAAGAAAAATAAAATACTTAGAGACATACAGCTCACAAACTTAAGCTATTTCACTAAAAGTATACAGACCTTACCTATACCTTTTGCCATAATATATCGCATGAAATTTAAACAAATAAATTTATATATACTAACTAATCAAATGCAAACTAGACGTTTTCAATCATGTTTCCCGATTACGATACGAGGAACGGCATAGATTCTCAGTCTTTTAGGTACTTATCAATAATATTCATTGGTGAATTCAGTCTTAAAAAAATCACTTCAGTCATATAATCTATATTTTTTCCTAACTAATCTACAATATCATTAATCAATATACTGAGCATTTCTAAGAACTTAATTAAATTATTCTATCAAAAATGTTGTCTTAATCAAAATTCTTAGTAATTGAAATTAATAATAAATTTGAATAATTAATTTCAACAGTCAAAAAAGTTTGTTGCGTTATTTTTATTGTATGTTGAAATTACTGAGATCTACATGAAATACAATCTGACCACGTCGAGTAATCGTTGGCTCGGGTAAAACTGTTAAAACATATTCTAAATGTTGTATGTTGCAAATGTCATCAACGGTTGGATATGAAAAGGTCATTTCTGTATTACATTTAGATTCTTTAACTTTTCGTAAAAATTTAACCGTAGGAGTTACACCATTAATCGACAAAACCTTACAGACAAAGTGTTTCAAACTCTTTTTGGTGGAGAATCGAACAATAATCCAGTCATTTACTTTAAGTCTTTCTTGATTTTCAGAAAAATATTTAAACGCATGTAATCCAAAGGAGGTTATTACATCAGGGAGCTCAAAATTTTCTTGTTCTTGTTCTCTTAGGGTTTCAGAAATGTAAAAATTATTTATTGTTTCATAATCATCATCTGTGTCAACTGTCATAAAATCATTACCCGCAGATATCGAGCTTGACTCACTATCGTCTGGTGTAGGCCGCCTTCTTTTGATTGAAGTACGTCGTCTGGCTGATTTTTTCCCTTTTGAATTATTTTTAACCTCTTTCTTTCTATCACTTTTCGTATCTTTCCTAGTATGTTTCTCCTTTATTTTCTTCGCGACTTTCTTTTTCTTCCCTTTCAGGCATTCTGGTAAATCAGTTTGATGTGTGGCAATGAACGATATATTTTCAGTGTTATCAGACAGTTCTTTTAAAAAACAAACATCAGTCACCGGTGTTCCTGCTTTTAGGAGTACATTTGAAAGTATTGTTATTTTATTTTTAATTGGACGATCTTGCATGGAATTTTCATAATCCTTTCCAGCAATTAATATTTTGGTGGTACTATTTGCGAAATCTTTTGAATGTAAATGATCTGTGAGTGATTTTCCGGTTTTAATACGCAATGATTGGCCTAAATAAAAATTAATTACATTGATACATTGTCTACTAAGGTTTTCAGGAATATAATTATCCCTATACTGAGCGATACTCTTTTAAGTCTTGAACAAAATTTGTACAAGTATTTGAACAAAGATCAGGACGTTCTGCTACAAAAAGGGCAGTATGTTCATCTAAATAGAACGATTCTTGATTTGTTTTTTTGCACATTATCCAATTTAACGGATTTCGCTTATGTTTTTTTATTGCAAGTAACCACATTTAAATCAGAAATGCTTACTGATTTGCCAGGCTCGCAATCAATTTTTTTACTCCTCTGTACTTGCATATGCTTTTGAGAACTGGTTTCTAACAAATAATCTACCAGTACTTTATCGATTCCACAGGCCAGTATTTTCCCTTGTATTTCTGGAATCTTCTTAAGGACTTCCTGTGGATTCAGGGGAAATATTCCCGATGCCCTAAAGCCACTTATTATGTTCTTTTTCTCTGTTATTTTAATTGCTTCTGTTAATTCATTAAGCAATTTCGGAAAATGTTTTTTGTTTAATTGTGGCTTGGGTTGGATTCTTGAGCTTGTATTGGTACAAAATTTTACGCCAGCATCTTTTCAAAGGCGCAAAAAATGCAACATCTAGTGGTTGCGTGAGATGTGTAGATCTCGGAGGGATGAATACAAACTTAATGTCATGTTGCTCGCATGACTCTACTACTTTGAAACTCAAATGGCTAGATAGGTTATCGCACTGGACAACTTTTGTCCCGACCGTTTCATTTGCCCATGGAAGAATTATTGTTTCAAAGTAATTCTCAAACATGGCGCTGTCAAACCAACCTGACTTAGTACAATTGTATCTGGTTTCCGGTGATCCTCCATTAACCCATTCTGAGTATAAATTTGTTGCTTTGTAAACAACATATAAAGGAAGGCACCTACCATCTGCGGTAGCCGTAAACATAAGGGATATGTTTCCTTTGGTGGAATTAACTATTCTCTCTGGATATTTTACTCCCCTTCTAAAAATGCTCTTAGAAGAGCCAGGGTCGTCGGAAAGGTTGGTCTCATCGAAATTTACGATATTTTGGTTGCTGGTATGTTTTTTAATGTTGAAGTTAAGTTATTAAAATAGTTGAGTATGTCTTGAGCTCCCCTTTCAGCTCTCGCCTTTGAAATATTTTGGGTAGTTCGTAAGGTCAATTCATCAGCATGCCTTGCCAAAAAGCTTTGTACCCAAGCATCACCGGGAATCTTATTCTTAAAAATATGATCTCTTGAGTTTTTTTTTTAGATATTCGTAAACCAATAGCTTTAGATCAAGTTTTGTAAGCGGGGAGCAAAAATCGCTAGAAGCTTGTAAAAACCTTAACAATTTGATCCTCTTCTTTAGTTGATAGAGCAGTAGGATGTCCGACAGACTTCATGTGAACTCGTTTTATTTTATTAACTATATTCCGCCTTGGGATTCCAAACTGTCTTTGAGCATCTCTTGATGAAATTTGACCTGATTGAACAGATTCACATGCAAGCATCAACACTTCTTCAGAGTAATTTTTATACACCCTAGATCCAAGTTCACGTCTTGACCTCCTTTGTGAAATACGTGATTTATGTTTGTTTTTATGAAATAAAAAAATGCAAATTATTTTATGATAATAACATAGTAAATAAGATAACTCATCTATTCATGGAAATTACATAAATTCTCAAGAAAAAAATAATTTTAACCTACTAAAAAAGTTTAAAATTTTTAAAATAATGACAATTTTCGAGCTAAAAAAAAGAGACGAAAAAAGAGTAAGTACGAGCTAAAAAACGTAGGGAATAACTAACCAGAGTCACTATGGCGTTATGGTCTACCATAAAAACACAACATACTACACCATGAACCCAGAAAACATTACATTCATTTTTGGCGGTCATGTAAAAAGAAAATAAAAAGTGTCAACCCTTAACGTTTTTTGACGGCGGGCAATGTTGACATTTACATGACTGCACATCATTTGGTAACTTTGCCCGCCTTCATAACTTTTGTAACACACAAGCTACAGCAATGAAACTATTATCAAAATACTCAGCACATTGTTTTACACAACAAACATACGATTAAAGTTACCTGTGTTTTCGCCATAATGCACAATTCTCTTGAAAAAATCCACAGAAATTGGCCCGCCAAAAAACGCACCGTTTTCGACAAGTGCCGACAGGTAACAGGTAACTGAGTGACGTTGAGATCGGAAACAGTATTTTGTGCTGCCACACGTATATTTTATTTTCTACCAATATTATAAATGCTGTCCTAAGTTTGGTAATTTTTTTTTATTAGTTGATTTCCTTAAAAATTGTGTTTCGGGCAAAGTTTTCCCTGGTGGCAAAGTTGGCGTATTTCACGGTACATACTATAGTTCGGCCGTTCAGAGAATGCGTTCCTGACACCTATCAGTTAGTCA